ATCTTGCTCTGTAGACCAGGCTGGCCTCGAACTCACAAAGATCCGCCTGGCTCTGCCTCCCGAGTGCTGGGATTAAAGGCGTGTGCCACCACCGCCTGGCCTCAGGATGGTTTTTAATGGTAAAGTGCTTGCCTAGCATGGCCAGCGTTTTGAGTTTGATCTAATACCACCAAAAACCAAACAAAATAAAAGTAAACAAAACAAACTTGTCTGGGGGTTCAGGAAACCAAATGCACACACAGAGCACTGGTTTAGAGCTGAGTCTAGGGCCTAGGACTCAGAAGGAATCTCTCCTTCTGTAGCAGGGAGCTTGTCCTCCTGCCACTGGGTTCAGGGGACAGTCCAGGCAGGAGGAGTGCAAATTCGAGGCCTGCTGGGCGACACAGGGTTAGTCTAGTGAGACTATCTTAAAAGGGAAAAAGGGGGCCTGAGGATGTAGCCTAGTGGTAGAGCTGTCTCTACTTGGCCTTCTACCTACCTGAGGCATATCTGGGTAGTGTTCATCTTCCTCTGGAATCCTGTCAGACACCCCAAGATGGGACTCCCAGCAGGGCAGTATTCCTCTCCATGGGAGAATGCTAACACATGTTCTCTGAGTGAACCACCAGCCCTCCTGGCCTCTCAGGATCTTTGAGCATCAAGGACCACCACAGCAGCTACAAATCCTTGATTCTGTGGACCCTACACCTTTCCTTCCACAGAAGGGAGCTACTTAGGGACGGTGGGTTTCCTCACAGGCATCCTTGCTGAACTGACTCAAGTGTGGTTAGCAGGGTTTGGGTACTACATGTGCCTTTTTTCTTTTCTTTCTTTCTTTTTTCTTTTTTTAGTTACTACCCCATCTTACCCACATGAAGGACAAAGCAACCCTGAGCAAAGACCCCCAATCTTGGATCCTTTCCCGAGGAAGATACAGATCTTGTGATGAACTCCAGCTGCCATTCTAGGGCTCACACAAACCCTTGGACACGAGGGGAAGTTGTCCTGCAGACAAGTGCCCAGGGCTTGCGGGACCCAGATGCAGCTGCTCCCCTTCCTGTAGGTAAGCCAGCCCAGAGAAGACCTTGCATGAACAACTTAGAAAAGCTTTTTGTTTTTGTAATACTAAGGATTTGTAAGACTGAGGGCCTCCTAGGAGCTATAAGCTCAGCCCAAAGCGGACAGTTCTAAAGGCACCCTTAAGTTGAGCTGTAGGACTTCAAAATGCTGATGCTGACTAAAAGAACAACCCAAGCCTGAAAAAAAGCTCTCTTTCCAACAGCCATTCCCAGGTGGGTCAAGTAAGGAAGATTCAGGAAGCCTCTCCATAGAACTACAAACCGTATCACCTGTAAACTGAAATAAACCTCACCCCCCCACCCCCCAAAAAAAAGAACTCCAAACCAGAAGTCTCCAGTAAACAAACTCCAAAGTGCCTGGAGAAGGCAGGCAACCCGTGGGTGTCCAGAGAGAAATCCTAATACCCAACACCAGCCCTGGCCAAATCCCCATGCCCAGTGTCAAGAACCAGTTTCTCTTGTCACTTCCATGGGAACCGTCTCCAGAGGGCCATGCCACAGGGCAGTAATGCATTGTAAAAGGTACTAGAGCAAGCCGGGTGGTGGTGGCCCATACCTTTAATTTTAGCACTCAGGAGGCAGAGACAGGCAGATCTGAGTTCGAGACCAGCCTGGTCTACATAGTGAGTTCTAGGACAGCCAGGACTACACAGAGAAACCCTGTCTCTAAAAAAAACCAACCCACCACCACCACCACCACCACCACCCCCCAAAAAAAAAAAAAAAAAAAAAAAAAAAAAAAAAAAAAAAAAAAAAAACAGAAAAAGGGGGAAGGGTTCTAGAGTGATTTTGCCTGTAAGAGCCCCAGTGGACCACTGTCACAGGAGATCATTCAGCACAGTCCAAGCTTTTCTGTAACAACCTGTAACAACACACCAACTCAGTGAAAAACCATCTGACTCTCCTGGGGAGCACTTCACAGGAACTAAGGGAAAATGCTTTCAATAGTGTGGGAAGGGAAATGTCCTTGTTCTAATTATAAACAGATGTTGAGGGGGGGAATAGTTTTGAGTCTGTTCACAATGAGTAAATTCAATGTGCTGTACATATAATTTGTGCACATCTTTTTTGTAGTGCATGCTTCACTTACGGTTTACCTTAAAAGTAAAGCAAAATAAAAAGCATCTTGGGTCAAAGGAAAGATGGTAGGCAGAGGTTGGTGTTCTGATCCGTGGGGTACTGAAAGAACTCAAGTAGTTATGGGGCAAATTCCCACCCTCACTTCCAACTTAGTCTCCGGAACTACTGAAGCGTAAAGGAGTGTGCTTCCAGCAGCAGAAAAAAGATGAAAGAGCAGCCAATCGATACAAGAGAAGGTGAGAGGCCGGAGAGAGAAGGCAGAAACCTGGGCAGTGCGAACATCTTTAAAGACGCTGATTAAAAGAACAGCCCACACCTGGAAAAGCTGCCTCTGCTAGGAAGGAGTCAGTTCCCTCCCCGACAGCCCATTCCCAGGTGGGTTTAATAAAAGAGGCCTCAGGAAGTCTCTTCGTAGAACTCCAAGTCAGACTTCAGTAGAAGCAGAACTACTGCTTACTTCCCCTGCATGGACAGGTTTGAGTGATGGCCCAGTTAAGAGGGGCCAGGGACACATCACAGCTGAAACTCTCCTTTGTGAATCTTTGCGAGGGTTCATATTTACTCCGCGTTCAAAACAACAACAACAAAAAAAAACCCCCACTTTTCTGGCTGGAGATGTAACTCAGTTGGTAGGGTGCTTGCCTAGCCTGCAGGAGACCCTGGACTCAGTCCCCAGAAGCTCATAAACCGGCAGTAGTAGTGCATGTCTATAATCGAGAAGTGGAGGCAGGAAGATCAAAAATTCAAGGTCATCCTTTGCTACATTGGGACTGTGAGGCCAATCTGGACCTGTTCTCTAGAAACACTTTCTTGCTTCTCTAAATGCTTTCCTTTTTCATTTCAAAAGGAGGGGGTAAATCTGTTTCCGATCTTTACTGGGGGTCAAGGACAAGTGTGAACCTCTCCACCGGTGCTCCAGGAATCTTCCAGCTAGTGCCCTCCTGGAGGGGAGGAGGGGCCGCTCGGCGCCCTCAAGCTCCGGATTGCAGGCCAGACCCACACGGGTGCCGCCGAGCCTGGAGGTCAACCGCGGGGCTCGCCGCCGCTCCCTCCTCTCGGGCCTGCGGATTTCCCATCTCAGAGTATTAGGAGACAGGCACTGAGGACCAAGAGGCCTGCACTGCCTCGGGATTTCCTCCTCCTCCTCTCCCGGTCCCGCCGCCCCCTAGTGCTCACCGGCTGCTTCCCTGGGCCGCGTCCCCGAGCGGTAGGGAAGGGACTGGGTTGGGAACCGCGTCCGGCGGGCCCGGGAGGACGTCGATGCTCGCGGCCCCCAGGCCCGCCGCGGGACATCAGCCCCATTTCCGCCGGCTCCGCGCGTTGCCGCGCGACGGTCCGTCCCCAAACGTGCCCGGGCTGCCCACCAACTGAGCCCGAGAGTTCCGCGCGCGCGACTCCAGCCATCAAACCTACACCCGCTTTAAATGTCCTGAAAGACCGGGTGAAACCAGCCTTTAGGGACCCAGGTCGCTTTATTCTCACCTTCATGCCCTGCCTAGGCTCCTAAGCCCCGGGCCCTCCCATCTCTCTGCATTGCAGGCAGGGTGCACGCCGACATATTTGGGCCGCTTAGTCCGAGAACAATATCCCTAAAAACGCAGCAACTGTTTATTGAGCGTTTACTTACACTCAAAGATCTTACATTGTCCATTAATCCCCTACAACATAATGATCAAGGCATATTGGGATAACTTGGAGGGGGCGACAAGTGTGGTGTTATAAACCAGAGATCTCAATGTCCAGATGACAGGCTGATTGCCGTCCCATACCCTGAAGGGGCGGACTGAAACCCGGATTCTCACTGAGTACACACACACACACACACACACACACACACACACACACACCGCGCGCAATTCTCACTGAGTACACACACGCACGCACACACACACACACACACACACACACACACACACACACACCGCGCGCGCGCGCGCTCCCCTCCCCTTCCAGATCTCATTTGTAACATGGGAGGAAAGGCCAACATTTTCCTGTCTTGAATGGAAGAGTATGAAAGAAAGGATTGTGCCACCCGGTACCCGACCCAAGAGCTCCAGAGTGGTTTGGACCCGGATTGCAGGAGAAACTGAAGACCTCTTTCAAAATGGGATATGTACAGGAGAAGACCTGGAGACCCAACCCTTGCCATGTGTTTCTTCCAGGACACTTCCAGGGTTTGTCCCTCTCATGTGTCTACCCCTTACCTCTGTTAGGCCCAGAGTTGCTGCTGGAGGCTCAAGAATGGGGATGTCTCTGAGGCTCCGGGCTGGGGCACTAAGAGACCACACCCTTGCCCCAAGCTGCCCAGCCCTGCTAGCCACACCCTCCCTCCCTCCCTGCCTGCCTGCCTCTGATTAGGATGTTAGGGTTGGGGCACCTGGCAGGAGATGTTGCCTGGCTATGCACTGTCGGATGGGCTCAGCACCCAGGATCTGCAGCTTCAAGTGTCACCTGAAAGCTCAGGACTCCTGAGACCCAAGCTAGCACAGCTAAGGACTGGGTGGCCTTTGGGGGTTGGGGGCATGAAGGGCCAGGGGCATACTGAACAGGGATATGGAGATGGCCTAGTTTAGAGCCTCATGGGGAGGTGGTATTCATGGCTGCCGAGTAGACAGGAGCACTTACTTACCAAGAGGAAATCAGAAGGCCAGCTAAGGCCAGGTGTGAAAGCAGGCTCAGCATCCCCCAAGGAGCCACCAAACTTCCAGGATAGTACAAAGGACTCAGGGCTGGCCAGTCATAGCAAGGGGCTGTTCTCCCCAGAGCCTACCCTCAGGCCATCGCTCCAAGATACTGGTACACCTTGATGCAGTTATCCCCTGCATCTGCCACCACCAATTGGCCCTGGGGAGCACAGGCCATACCCAAGGGCCTCTCCAGTCCCTCCAACTGCAAGCAGATGGGTGGCCCAACCCGGGGAAACAGGGTTACCTGGTGCTTCTGCTCATCAGCCACAAGAATGCTACCCTCGGAGTCAGAGCACACACCGGCTGGATGGCCAAAGCTATGCCCAGTCAAGGTTCCCAGGGAGCCCAGACGCTGGTGGGCACTGCCAAACAGCTGCACATCCCCAAACTCTTCACTCACAGCAAGGCCCCCATCAGGCCCTGGACCTACCCAACAGGGGCCCTCCAGACCTAGCATAGAGGCTGGAGCCAGGGTCTCCCAAGTTGGTCCCAACATGAAGCTGTGCACAGTTCCAGGCAAGTAGTCTGTCACCAGGAAGTGGCCAAAGGCATCCACAGCCAGCCCTCGGGGGGACAAGAATGTGCCTACAGTCACCCAGCGGCCCTGGGGTTCCCGGGAAGTGTACTGAAGAGCAGACACGGCCCCATGGATGAGGTCACTGACCACCACAAGTCCTGAAGCTGTCACAGCTACATCCTCTGGAACAAAGGCTCCGGTTCTAGGCATGCAGCAGGATAGTTGACAAATGGAACGTCCCTCCAGATCCAGCACATGGACACAGGATGCAGCGCCAGCCGTCAAGAAGAGCAGGCCATCTGGGGAGCAGTGCAGGCCTCGGGGGGCCCCTGCAGCCCCCGCTGGCACCACGATTTGCCCCAGCAGCCGGGGCTGCCAGGAGCAACTGGCCTCTCTTTGTTGGTCCAGCCTGAGATCAAGCAGGGCCTGGGATGTAGGTGGCTGGAGGTAGGGGTGGCCTAGGAGGTCAAGGGGTCAGGACAGATTGGAGGCCAAGGGCAGCAAGTCAGTCAGTCTCAGCTTCTCTGCAGCTACAGATGTGCCGATGGTGGCTGATGGGTGCTGGTGCCCTCCTATGGTACCGGTGAAGAACTGTGGGGAGGTGGAGGGTAAGGGCTGAGCTGTATTCATGCTCAGTTCCTCCTACTTCTGAGTGCTCACCTGGTCCCCAAGCCCAGCAGCCAGGCACACAGGTGTCAAGGTGTCTGCAACAGTGGTCAGAGAGAGACTACCCGCTCCAGAAGGTCAAAGGTTTCCTCTAAGGCCCGAATCACAGACATAGCTGTGTCCTAGCTTGGGAGGGAGGGTGAGGGGAGACAGTAAGCAGCATTTCTCAAACTCACCAGCCCTGGGACTCCTCCTTCACAGGGATGGCCTACGCTCCAGTTAGTGTCCCTGTCTCCCACCCACAGCCCCTCTGTTTGACCAGAGAGACAGCCAAACCCCAGCCCGCTCAGGGCTCTCCACCTGCCCCTTGCACAGAGACCAGGATATCCCTTACCGAGGGCCAGGCTGCTGCTCTGGCCTCAGGACTTTATTCACGCTTCTGTTGTTGGAGACAGCCCGGGTGTGTGTGTGTGGAGTCGGGGCAGAGTAGGGGAGGAGTCACCGGACAAGTCCCCTGCAGGGACAAGTTGAGCAAGGAGGCAGGGAGGGGCTGTTTGCTGAGTCCCTGGCCTCCAGGCTTGTACCCTCCTGCTAGGGTCTTCCTCTGGGCCTCACCCTTACCCTGGACACTTCCTACTGCCCCCTCAGAGCTGAATGTCTCCCAGACAAGCCTGCCCTCTCCAGAAGGTACCTATAGCCCTCAACAACTATAGGCCACCCCTCCAGGCAGGACATTTGCATCAGGACCAAACCTTGGTCACCATCTTGCCACCGCCACCAGGAGGTCAAGCTAGCCCTATCTCTGTTCCTGTGAAGCTGACGATGTTGCCTCCCAGGATCAGAAACTGGGATGCAGTAGGCTCATGGAGGTGCTGAGAGGAAGTTGCCTCAGATCTAGGACTTGAGGTTCCTTGGACGTCTGTCTCCCCCCAGTAGTTCCCCAGGAAGCCTCCAGGTCAATGGCGTCCAGCTAGCTTTTGTCAGCCTTGGCCTGCAGCTGTACAGCACCCTGGTCTGGTCAGCCAGAACTCCAGCCCCAACACCACCTGTCATGCCTCACAGTGGGGTGGCTACCTGATGCTATCACCAGGTAGATGGTTAATGGAGCAGCTGAAGGTCCTGTTTGGACTGGCCCCAGCCTGGCCAGTCCAGCCCCGGTGAGAACAGTACCTCCTCTGAGGGCAGCTTGTACTTCAGGGCATTCCTGAGTGGGCATGGAGGCTATAGCCCAGCTCCCCAGGGAGAAAAGTAATTTGCTGTGGCTGGGGGGCCCCAGAAGCCCTCCCTGGCTGTCTCCCACCCTGGCCTGTGGAAAGCCAAGCAGGGCTGTACTGGGAGGGAAGCAGTGAGCTGTGAAGGCCACCGATGCCTATCATGGCTGCAGGGGCTGGCGGGGGGCCCAGGAAGGCCACACGGGGTGAGCAGCCTAGAGCCATAGAAGGCAGGAGGCTTTGGCCACCACAGGCAAAGCTGGCATTGGGCTGCTTGGATGGATTCAGACCCAAGGACGAGCAGGGTCCTTGCCCATCCCCAGTGAGCCGAAATAGGCCAGGTCATCCTGACATGTCTGCCTGTCTGCCACCCTTCCCCGAGTCCCCTAATTGAGTGTGTGTGCCCAGCCCACCCCTTGGCTCCAGAGTCTTTGGAAGAACGAAGTCCAGAATGAGGACTTTGAGGCCAAAGGTGACCCCCAGCATGGTGTCCAAGACATTGCTCACTGGGATACTCAGGCTGGGGACGTTTCCATGAGGTGCTTATGCAGGGACAGAAAAGGAAAGAAGCCCAAGCAGGGTGTTTGAAGGTGTTTTCTATTTTAATGTCCACAACTCTGTTCAATAAATAAATCATGACCTTGTTATGTCCATGTGACCCCAGAGATAAACCTCTACCATGAGCTAGTGGGGGGAACGGGGGTATCTGTCCAGAATACATGCACACCGACACTGGACAGGCCCAGACAATGGGGCCCAGGTCAGGGAGATGAGCCCACACATTAAGGTGGCTGTGGACAGACCTCAGCACCTGGGAGGATCTGCAAGCTAGGGGTATCTTTAGGGGTCTGGGAGCTGCCAGCCCCAAGACGGTTACCCCAGCCGCCACCGGGAATTACGTGGTCCTCAGGGGCCTGGAGCGGGAGGACAGGAGGAGGGACACTGGAGTCAGCCTCACACTTGGTCGTATGGCTAGAGAAAGGCTCAAGGACAGGGCCCAGTATGCTGGAGGGCTCAGAGGCCCCCCTTGCCAGCATGGGGCTTGGATCAGGCAGCCCCCAGGACCCTGAAGGTGCCTTAGTTCCCTTGGGAGGCACCCGCTTCACGGAGAGGTCCAGGGGTGTGTCCAGTGGCCGAGCTGCCCGGGCCAGTGCCTGATGGATGTTGAACAGCTCCCGGCGAATCTTGCCAAGCTGCTCCCGGAGAGGTCTAGGGGCCAGGTCCCCAGCCGGTGCCAGCTGCCCCAAGCACTCTTCCACCCTGGCGTAGTCACCAAAGGCCTGGCTCAGGTCCTCTCCCACTGGGCCCGGA